GTAGAACCATGTTGCATTCCATTCTTTGGGATGGCTCTGCAGTTTGGCATGAGGATAAGTGACTTCTTTTCTCTTTTGAATCGCCATGCCGCCTAGCTCTGTGTTGGGGTCGTCCGTAAATTCGGTGCGGCGGTTTAGATGGAAACAATCTCTGAATAGTTCAACTGAGGGCTCCTCTTGAAAGAACACCTCACAGAGCACTTGGAAGTGACAGATGTTGGTTACGGAGTTAGGGCCGATATCTTGTGGACGCAGTTGGAAGTTGTCCAAGACATCCGATAAAACTTTGAACTGGGTGGACTGAAGCCCCGGGCCAGATGGTCATCAAAAACAACAACTTCTCCATCCTTGGGTTCCGGAGAACTTTCCGGGCCAGGGACCCTCCAGTGAATGACATCTTTTTTGCCCAAAGTGCCAATTTTGACTAAGTTCTCTAGCTGCGTCTCGGTCACTCGAGAAGGGACCCAGTTGCACTCATATACTTGCTTGGCCATGGTGCAATCTGCAAAACATTAATACCGGTTCAAGAATATGTTGGAAGGATATATACATATGCATCTAGAGTTCTGCAAAGCGGCAGTACTTAGCTAAGATCCTGGCGGTTCAGTAAGGGGACTAATGGTATATGCCGAGTCATCAATTTTTCTACAAAGCTAAACCGCCCGGTCTAAAAATGATGCAGAGTCAGCACTGCGGTGAAAACAGGTTTCACAGTGCTACTTAACAGTCTTCGATCTGGAGCATGTTCAGAAAAAGAAGTAAATATTCAAGATTTGAAAAGGAGTAGATGCTGAATCCATGAGCAAAGATACAGATAGATCTATGGCCCTAAGAGGTGTGACGACAAACGGATGGTAAAAATTACCGCTACATAGAACAAAGATTTGCAAGTTTATCTGAAGACTGCTATATGAACAGGAAGCAACTGACGAACACTGAAGAACACGAGAACCCTAGAACAGATCTACGGGGGGGAGGAAAGAAGACTTACCGGAGCTGAGTTAGAAAAGGAAGGTCGCCGCGGTGTTCTGGTACGCTCAGGTTGATGCAGCGGCCAAGGACGGTGCTGAAGTCGACGGCGGTGGCGGAGCTCTGAAGCAGGGCAGCGCAAGGAAGACGAAGAGGAAAGGACCGAAGGGGAAAAAGAAATGACCCCTCGGGCCTATTTATAAGGCAAAGGACATGTGTCAGGCGCGAAAATCGAAGGGTCGTGGGCTTGGAAACGGAGCTGTCGCCTCGATTCTCGCAGATCTATTAAACAAAAGATAACGTGGATAACTTTATGACAGGTGACGTCATGCCGGTTCACGACGATCAGAGAAGATGACATCACGGCGGTTCACCAGATTATACAAGATGCAGAAGATGAAGTTTTCTATTGGCTAAGGATTGACATGAACCTGTTCATATCAATCTGGGGCCTAATGTTGGGGATATTACCGCTAAGGGTAAACCGGCCAGGACAGGCCAGGTTAACTTCATCAGTAGTTGAACATATTAAAGCCCAAGTATGCAGTAGAGGGCTTATGGCCCATAGCCGGTTCATACCTGTAGTTGTAAACCGGCATCAGCATGTAACTTGTATTGTAAGTTAGGAATAGTAGAGACCGAGCCGGATACATCTATGAACCGGCGTCGGGACTCTGTAAGCCGACGGGCGTCACCCATGTATATAAGGGGACGACCCGGCGGCGGTTTAGAGACAGACAACCACAACTCGAGGCTTAGGCGAAGCTTGTTTGCTCCCTAGTCATCGAAACCCCATTAATTCCATCACAACTAGACGTAGGCTTTTACCTTCATCGAAGGGGCCGAACTAGTATAAATTCTCGTGTCCTTGTGTCCGCTTTAACCCCTTCAAGTTAACCCGTAGCGATGGCTCCACGACTAAGTCCTTTCACGAGGACATCTGCCGTGACAAACCCAGGACATATACGGTGATCAAAAATAAGCATGGATGGGTCATTATCAAAGTATTGGGGCTTCGGTCTCAGTTACCTGGGAGGCTGGAAGTATTCCGGGGTAATAGGCCGTAATGGCAACCAAGGCATTATCGATGCTCAGTTGGTGAAATACCCCATCAATCAACTCCACCAATATGTCCGGATCCTCTTGGGAGGCCGGATCGAGGAGCCGTTCCGGATCCTCGGGTTGTGGAGGCGGGCTGTTTATGTCTTTTACGGCCTGGCGCAGTTCTTGCGTCAAAATCACAAAATGAGACACCTAACCATGGGAATACGGATCGGATGTGCAAAAAGAAATGTCCGCTTACCCAGCTTCGAGGATTGTTCATAGAAAATCCGTTCAATGGACTGACGCGGAGAAAATCCTCATCTTCTCCCTTGTACAGCGCGGACAAGATCTTCACCAGATCGGTGACCGATCCCGGCCCCTTACGGCCATAACGGGTGGCATCGTCCTCCCCGTTGAAATCCCACATGGGGTGGCCCCTATACTGGAGTGGCTGCACCCCCCGCATAATGCATGTGGCCATCACACCGATCATGGTCAGTCCGGAATGAGCTAACAATCTTATTCCGCTCATCAGTTAAAGGACGTCCCTGTCGTCTTCCCTCTGGGGGCTCCGCGGGCGCCAACTCAGGCGTTTCTTCAAAGAAGCATTGCTGAACTCTGGGAGACCGATCCGAACAAGATCCGGCAGCGGGACGTCTTCTATACAAAACCATTCCGAAGGCCAGTCTTCGGACGCCTTCTTCGGGGTTCCGGATAGATATCCGGTCCCGGCGATGCGCCACAGCAAGGCTCCGCCCACTTGATCTATTGACCCCTCATGAGAACGGGGTACAACGCAGAATAATCTCTTCCACAGCGCAAAATGAGCCTCAACGCCCAAGAACAGTTCACAAAGGGCTACGAAGCCCGCGATGTGCAAAATGGAACCAGGCGTAAGGTGGTGCAACTAGAGGCCGTAGAACTCCAAGATCCCCCAGAGAAACGGATGAATTGGAAATCCGAGTCCTCTTACTAGATAAGAGATAAAGCATACCCGCTCTCCTTTGGAGGGATCGGGGACACTCTCCGCTTGCTTTCCGCCCTTATAGGTGGCGAGTCCGGCTCGAACCGGAACCATGAAGGCCGGGGGAAGAAGTCCCTTGGTTTGGAGTGTCACTAGCTCGCTATGCGGAACTGAGCATCTCTCCCAATTTCCAGGCTGAGGGCTGGGAGCGCAAGAGGAGTAGCCGCGTCGACTGTCCATGATGGAATGGATTTTTGTCAGAGGCGCTCCGATGAGAGCTCACGGAGGGAGGATGGTGTGACTCGGATCTAGATCCTCGTCCCTTTTATAGACGGCTCATTTGCGCAGCTAGGGGGATAAGTGTAAAAATACCCTGGCTTTTCCCATTCATTCAACACGTGGAAGATGGCCATTATTGGGCGTGGAAGCCAAGGAGCGCAGCATCTATCAGAATCCGGACACTATTCGACAAGCATATGGAATTTGGAGAAGAACCCGCCTCGCAATGCCGAAGACAATCTACGCGCCGGACTCATCGTCATTGAAGCCTGGTTCGGGGGCTACTGAGGGAGTCCCGGATTAGGGGGTGTCCGGATAGCCGAACTATCACCGTTGGCCGGACTCCTGGACTATGAAGATACAAGATTGAAGACTTCGTCCCGTGTCCGGATGGGGCTTTCCTTAGCGTGGAAGGCAAGCTTGGCAATACGGATATGTAGATCTCCTACCATTGTAACCGACTCTGTGTAACCCTAACCCTATCCGGTGTCTATATAAACCGCAGGGTTTTAGTCCGTAGGACGAACAACAATCATACCATAGGCTAGCTTCTAGGGTTTAGCCTCTCTGATCTCGTGGTAGATCTACTCTTGTACTACCCATATCATCAATATTAATCAAGCAGGAGTAGGGTTTTACCTCCATCGAGAGGGCCCGAAACTGGGTAAAAACATCGTGTCCCTTGTCTCCTGTTACCATCCGCCTAGACGCACAGTTCGGGACCCCCTACCCGAGATCTGCCGGTTTTGACACCGACAGGCAGAATCTTATATTTTTTGCCCATAATAAGGAGTCACTTCCTTGGGAGCAAAGATGTTGTTGGTGGGTCCCAGCTGTCAGGAGCAGGCATAAGGAGGCACTTCCTTCCTTGCGAAGATATACGTGGTGGGTCCCAGCTTTCATGGCGAGGAATAATTTTTATTTTTGCATAACAAGGAGGCGGTTGCAGTGTGCGTCCATGGACCTGGTGCGTCCCCACTATCAGCCTCTCCACGTATAATCCTCTTCCGATGACTCTCGTTTGTTGACCACGTTGACCACGCCGCGCCGAGCGCACCAAGGCAGTGGATGACGGCGAGGCCCCGGACGGCAACGAGCCGATGATGGGAAGACACGGCAGTGGAGTCGCAGACGGAGAGGTGTACGAGGGTTAACTGATTCTGGTGCGGCGTGGTTCTGCAGTCAGTAGAGAATAACATCACTCGTTTATTCATTTAAATGGATTTTTTGTAAAGAAATTGTAAATATAATCCTAAAGCCCTATATGTTTTAGTGTGGCCTTGCCATGGTCGTAAGTGGTTACCATAAAAATTTCAGGTCTTCTAAAATTAGTTTGATCCCTCAAATAATTTAAGCAACAACTTTCATTTTTATTTTGTTAGGATTGTAAAGAGAGAGGGGAAGAACAAGGACCGTCTCTTAAGTAATAAGAGCATCCATGCATGTTGATCGATGAACAAAACACACATGAATAACCAACGAAGAAGCCCAAATCACATGGTGGAAATCAGTGAAAAAATAATGATAAGCAAGCAAATCATCAACTTGACAATAACGATTCATTTGACAAATGATAATTAATGACCACCATATTTTTTTGCAAACATAACCACTGAACAAGTTCACCAACACCACCTTATAGACTCTTGGTTCATTACAACCATTATGACATAAACAAGCACACTGAAATGTAGACATGGGTAATACTAAGTGTTCATTACTTCAGCGCGGCCTAGATGTTCCTCTACTTAAAGGCCCACTGGTTTTCCCTGCGGATCTTTTCCTCCTCCTCGGGTCTTAATTTCTCATAGATGTTGAAGATCTTGCGGATCTCCTCTGGCGTCTTTCCCATGATCATGTCGGCGACGGTCTGGCAAGTCAGGTCTAGGAGCCCCCTGATGTTGAGGTGGTTCGCAGCCTGAGAGGGGGCAAAATAGCAAAAGGAAAAATGGTGTGTCAGAGGGAAGCATTGGTTTACAAAAACATGGATAATTACATATACCACCTACATAGATGTTTTTGCGACAAACTAAAACACAAAACAAGGTGTGCAATAATCAAAAGATATTCATTCAAAGACCATAACATGGGTTAACATCAATGGATCGATAGTCAAGAAAAGTTAACATAACTTTAACAAAATAGAATGAGATCAGACACAGCTACATACATTCCTACATGATAAATGATAATTTTGTAAGTGCATAAGCTACATGGGTTCAGATGACAAGCACCACTTCTCAAAATGCATTGGCAATTGCATTCATCATCCAATAATTTGGATATCAACATGTATGGCTAGTACACCACAATCATCAGTCAAGCAATGATACGTAGATGAACACATTCATAGCCAATATGGATCAATATAGTGGCATTTAAAAGATTCGCTCAGATGATAAAGGCAGCGATAACAATAAAGTTAAAATCAAACCACAACACAAAACATGTGTTTAGGGGTCAGTAATATACGAAACTGGAATATGTATTGCAAGTGAAGATGCCACATGTGAGATACAAATCGTATCTATGATAAAATAAGATAACTATAAGAAAAGAAACTAAAAGTAAATAGTGCTAAACTCTTGCAAACAAGATCAGGATTTTATAGTGGCCATGGGAAGTCATTTGTGGTTCCACTTCAAACGATGGAAAGCATCATCACTTCTAACATGGACAGGCACAATGTATTATCTCGTGATTTAGCTACAAGGATGTAATGTTAATAGAACCACAATCAATACTCTACCACTGCTAGATAGAAGAAGGCATTCGTAGATGACATGGATCAATAGTGGTATCTAAAAGATTAGTTGAGATCATAAATATTTGATACAAAGTTAGAAACATTAGCATGATCATGTGATTTAGCTATCACTATGTATACAGGAAAATAAATAGTAACTCGATGCTAGATAGAAGAAAAAGGCATTCATTGTTGACATATGGACCAGTAGTGAAACCTATAAGATAATAAAGACATAGATGGCAAAATTAGAAAGAAGTGTGTGATCTACAATGCATAATTACAAATATCAAAGTAGTAATGTATGATATTGGATTTATGTATTATAACTAAGGATGACACATGCGACATACCACCCTATCTATGATAAACCAACATAACTAAACAAATTCAGAGCGGATCTACTAAAGTCTAGCATACAAGATCATAATTTCACACTAGATATGGACATTCATGCATGGTTCAAATCTAGAAACACCAGTGACAAATATAGAAACATCATACCATATATTGCTCTGTGTGGTCTGATGTTTCCACAAGTTATTGAAAGAGAAACCACTCAATCATCATCCCATATATGTAATTTACAAACAAAATGATAGTGAATCTAATAATTTAAAATGTTTCTAGGTTATTCATGTATAGTGAAGCATATTAGACCAGATGAACATGGAACTGTAAATTAATATAGCTCCCCAGATAATGCCCGAACCTAGCTATTAGGGTTAGTATGTATGGTCGGCCACTTTCTACATCGCCAATAACAACTCTTTATGACCTAAACCTAATCCATTGTGTAACCTAACCTAATCCAATCGAGTCAAATCTACCTTGATGAAGGTACGAGGACATATTCCAATCTATCCAAATCTCAATCAGACACAAGTAACAAGCCACACTAAACAAAAACAATCTTGATTCCATCAATGGGGGATAGTAAAAAAATTGATCCAGAGAATGTCAAGGAACAAATCAAAGGATGGAAAGTAATCACACTAGTGCGAGGTCGAATATGGTGGCCGTGTCGACCTTGACGAAATTGGCGTCCCAGTTTTTAAGGTCCTCTGCGGGCGCCGCAGGCACAGCCGATGTAGCACCTAACGGCCTAGCTCCTCCTATAAAATCAGATGTGTCGGCGGCCTTTGCTTGGACGTGTTTGTTGCAGTACTCAATGACCTTGGAGAGGATCTTTGAGTTGACATTGCGGAGCAACAAGCCGTCGTCAGTATAGTCGTCCTCGATCATGTGCCAGATCATTTGCGACTCCATGGCCACCGCCTGCTCCACCTCAAACTCCTTACCGTCTGAACTCTTGAGCTTGATGATCTTCTTCTTGCCCTCTGTGGCCGCCATCGGGTGGATCGGAGCTAGGGTTGGGGTGGGAAAATTGGGGATCGAGGAAACCCTAACTAGAAGAGGAAACTCTAGCGGCGGCGGAAGAAAGGAGGAAAGATTGGGTGTTTTGTTGCAGGGTTGATTGGGCTTTTGGGGAATTTATTTTGGGCCGATTGAGCAACGTTTGGATGGGTAGATATGTAGCTTACGGGCCTTAGAAAGAAACGAAGCCAAATAATACAAAACAAGATGAAATCAAACCAATTTTTTTACGAGTTCAAAGGGGTCAAACTAGAAAATTCATATTTTCCAATTTGATGAGGACAACAGTGGTATCTTCGGTTGGAACAACTTTACCACCTTCCCAGGATGTGGGCTCGCCTTATAAGTTGGCCCACATGGCGAAGGTTTAACTTCTATTTATTGTTTTGCGAATCGACAGGCTTAATGCATGCCGAATGATTTACTGTCAAATCAAAAACATGCAAAAAACAGTAACTGGCTCTAGGCATTGAATTTATAGTTTAGTTCAGAAAAACAATATAAATTGCTATGGATGGTATTATAATAGCATGAATCAATCAAAAATTATAGGTAATTTCAGACGTATGAGTCACCGAGCAGAACATAGTACATACGCGTATACCTTCACCCCTATGAACGATGCAAGATTCGTTGGGTACTTTCTGCTAGCTCACGGGGTACATATTTAATTTGTACAGATATATTGTTTTTGCGGCTGCTTCGAGCCGCAGGAAATTTGTGGATATTACATGTTGATACATCGACCATCACCGAATTACTCTTATAAAGGATGCTGGAGTACTCTTGACGCCCCCTTCTGCCTGCCACTCCACCGTCCAACCATGTTGGGTCGTTCCCCACCCCTATGAGCGTGGGGTGCCCCTGGTATGGCACCTTTTCTTTGCCACTGCGTGCACATTTCTTGCAATGAGGGTGGTGTCTAAGATTAACTCCAATGCGCGCCAACGTGTTCTGTCCGTGCACGTCGGTTTGGGTCGAAATGAACACAAACTGCGGCCCAATGTGCCGACGCAAACGGGCGAGTGTCCGCTTTTTGTCTGCTCGTGACTCATTTCAGGACAAGATTTGAGTCGGGTTTGCATCAGCACGGACATGACGTGGACGCACGCGACGCCCGTCCTTGTCCTCCCCCTAGCCTGTCATTCGGTGGCACATTGGCAATTACCCTCCTCTCCCGTCCAAAACTAAGACACCCGGGCACCCTGCCTTCACCGTTGTCGTCCAGTTCCGGCCGGTTGGACATTGCCCAGGCCGCCGCCCGCACCCAAAAACCTCCCCCGACAACACGCCGCTCTCGACAGGTACCCTTGCCGGCAAGTCAAGCCTAGTTTCACCGCCGTCGTAGCAGCCCCACCCCCACCCCCCACGACCATGCCACCACCCTCACCTCTGGCGCCGTTGGCAACGCTCCAATCCCGGCTTCCACAATCGACGTTCTCCTCCACGGCCGCCACCACGCCGACAGGCCTCCTGCCTGGTCTGAAAGAGGCGCGGGGCTCTTCGCCGGCCGGCTTCTTCAACCACGCCCGTGAGGTGTTCGACATTTCGCCCGTAAGGTACAAATGGATAGTGGAGACGAATACTTTTTCGACAACTTCATTTGCGGTTCGAATGATTCATCGTTGGACGATGAGGAGTTTGTGGTTGCTACTTTGGTCGCCAATGACCACATTTAAGGGCTCAATCTCGGGCCATGCTCCGGCGTTGAATCGCAATAGAGAGAGCGGAAGACTACTTCAAGTCCTCTTCCCCACTCTTCAAACACAAGCTATTTCGGCGCCGCTTCCAGATGGCTAGACATGTGTTCTCGTATTCGCGAAGGGTTGTGGCATACGATGATTATTTCATATGCAAGGAGGACGCCCCTGGGAGAGGTTGGCTTCCCCTCTTAGCAGAAATGCACTGCAGCTATTCGGTGCTTGCATACAAAATACCATGTGATCTGATTGATGGGTATGTCCGCATGAGTGAGGCCACGTGCCTAGAATCCATGTACAGGTTCTGCAAGATTGTGCTAGTGGTGTTTGGCCGGGAGTACTTGAGAGAGCCAACTATTGCACCAGATTGTTGGCGATCAATGCAGATAGGGGCTTTCCGAGGATGCTTGGTCGCACACAGATTGTAAGCACTGCAAGTGGAAGAACTGCGCATCTGCTTGGCAGGGGCAGTCTAGAGGTCATGTGAAAGTTTGCAATGTCATACTTGAGGCCGTGCTTCACAAGATCTTTGAATTTGGTACTCTTTTTTTTGGCACGGCCGGCTCTCACAATGACATCAACGTGCTTCAACGTTCTCTGGTGTTTGAAAGGCTTGTAGAAGGCAACTGCCTAGAGTTCAATATTAAGATCAATGGTCACCACTATAACAAAGGATACTACCTACCTGATGGTATTTATCCTCAGTGCATTACTCTTGTGAAAACAATCCCAAACCCGATAGGAGAGAAGAGGCAGTGATTTGCCCAAACACAAAAGGGTCGCTGGTGGTTGGGGCGGGGAGGGAGGGATTGGCGCACTAATCTGAATTTGACATGGTTAATGTCAGTTGAATCATCAAAGATATGCGCTGGTAATGGTTACAGGAAGGCGGATGCGGTTAATGTCAGTTGAATCATCAAAAGTACTCCCTCCGTTCCGATTTACTCGTCGTCGTTTTAGTTCAAATTTGAACTAAAACCACGACGAGTGAATTGGAACAGAGGGAGTATGTGCTGCTAATGGTTACAATAAGGTGGATGCTTGAAGTAGGAGTGTAGAAGGGAACAACGAGGAAATTTGGGACTGACACTATTGAAGCACCCCGCCCCAACAAAGAGGACAGCGATGACGTGAAAGCACCCCCCATGTTCTGCAAGACGCTCATTGCTTCCGACACCAGCATGCACAAGGCTCTCTCCTCTGGTTCATGGCGTCAGAGACCAAAAGATTTTGTTAACTCTAGGTGACAAATTCTTTATGCATCAAGCTTGATGACAAATTCTTGTAGTATGGAAAATCTTTATTGCAGATTCAGAACTAATAGGCAAAGACACCAGGTGCCAGGTAAGGTGACCGAAGACTATTGCTTCCACTTATTCGATGGCGGGTTTGAATTGAGGTTGAGATAATGGGTGGAGAAAGAAAAAGAATATTTTTTTGCGGATAAAGAAAAAAATTATTTAACGGTAAAAAAAAGGTGCCAATGCTATCTACTCCCTCCGTTCCGATTTACTTTCTCGTCGTGGTTTTAGTTCAATCGGAATTGAACTAAAACCACGACGAGAAAGTAAATCGGAACGGATGAAGTAGCTAGCTAGGATCATGAAGGTACATGTTGGACATGATTGATATCGCACCACTAGAATATTTATGTATCTGAACCTAATTTCACGCCCTGCATTTTCCCGTTGCAACGCACAAGCAGGGGCGGACCTAGAGAGAAAATGACATGGTGTCCTAGCGTATGACCACTCATATTTTTCATTTAAAGATGGGGTGTCACACACTATGTTTTGCATGAAACTTACAAAGAAAACATTTTGCACCCAGTGTCCTGTGCACCCGGGTAGCTCAACTTGGGTACGCCCCTGCGCACAAGCATGTTTGCTAGTTTTCCCGTTGCAACGCACAAGCATATTTGCTAGTAAGAAGGAAAAGAAAGAAGCAACGGGGATGCAAACACAAGAAGAGAAAGGAAAACAAAACTGTCAAAGTCTGTCTGTCTGTCTGCAACCAAGAAAGAGACTAGCTACAAACAAGTTGCTCATTGCTGCTGCCTATAACTACATCATACCATACCATACCAGACCAGACCAGACCATCAACCAACAACCGAATCCACTATTTCCATCATAGATCCGCCCGACCGACCGGCGCCAACATCATCGGTTAAACTGATCATACTCGACGACGACATTCATTATACTAACTAGACTTCTTTTTAAACCCACGCAGGAGAGGAACACAACCAACCCAACCAAACCCTAGAATCATCCATCACCCACTAGCTAAGCTAGCCTAGGCTCAACTTCCGCCGTACCAAACTAATTAAACAGTCTACATCCTTCACTCCCGGATCGAGTTGATGTCGATGCCGCAGGACCGCGACTCCATCTGCCGCATCATGCCCGTCCACCCGCTCATCATCGCGTCCGACGGCAGCTCCTCCTCTCCTCGGGGCATCGGCATCAGCGGCGAAGGGCCCTCTTCCTCCGCCTCGCCTCCGACTCCGTCTCCGCCCCTGCCCCCGTTGGCATCGCCGGTCTGTTCTTCCTCCGCTGCAGCAGACTCCTGCCCGGCCTTGCCCTTCCTGCTCTTCTTCGACCCCGCGTACATGAAGCTCCCCACAATCACCTGCACCAGCACACACAATCACCTAATCATTCATTTCTGGAACACAACAGACCAAGGATGAATTAATGAAATGCTAATGTTTCAGTGTAAAAAAAGAAACGAGTGATCACCTGAACTGTCCCGGCTGCTGTCAGGACTCCACCAACGCTCCCTCCAATAACCCTGTGATCAGCGCCACACAGCGCTATGCATAGCCCTCCATTTCGTGTGCGCGTAACACCGTCATCTATCACCAGGTATGATCCAGAGAGGCACAGGATTTCGAATCGACCCTGTCAAATGTAATAGGGGACACACGAAAATTGTTAAGTGCGTTGTCTGTGACTGGTGTTATAACTTACAAGTGAAGCATTTCTTGGAAAAATAGAATAAATATTAATGACTCCATATTCATCAGCAATGGATCTAGGAACTGCAAACTTGAACAAATACCTCCTGTCCTAGGTTGCTAACAACATATCATGACTTCATTTGACGACAAAGGACAGAAGTAGTCAGGTTTACTTATACCAAGACAACACATCAACAACGTATACACATCAAAGATGCAGCTACAAAATATGGAACAACAGGAAGGATGGCACTACGATGACAAATACTAGAGAAGAACTGACATTACTGCCGGTAACAGAGCATAATAGA